ATGCACATCCTCTGGAAAATACTTCTCCAGAAATGCTACTCTGAAAACAGTCCAAGTAACATCAGTTTCCTCTTCTTCAAACCTTTCACAAGTGTTACCCCACCAGTCCTTAGCTTCGTTTTCAATCATATGGTTGCCAAACTGCACCTTCTGCGCATCAGAACAGTTCATGACTCAAAATATCTTCTCAATCGCTTTCAGCCATACCCGTGCCTTGTCAGATTCATGCGCTCCCTCGAAAATTAGCGGATTGTTTCTCTAAAACTTCCCCAAAGCACGAAACTCATCATCATTGTTGTTATTCCTAGCATTGTCTCGTTGATTCTGCCTAATCGCTCCAGCCAACATTGCAAAAGCTTTAACAATAGCGTCATCATTCCTGCCTCCAACCATTATTTTGAGAATTTCCAACAACAAATTCTCATTAGGACAAACAATATCGATAGTGTCACATACACATATCAAATATAAACGGGAATAAACACATTAACAACTTGGTCAACTAACCGACTATGCTCTGATACCACTAATGTAACACCCTCTAAAACCCCATGGAATAATACGTCATGAATCAGAGTAAATTAACCATGCATCTCAAACAAGAGTGTCACACATACTTTATACATGACCCACTTCTGTCATGCTCAATAACACTAAATTAAATTCATGCTTTTCATATCACTTTCACATAAGCATGTATCACTGGAATCACTTTCATTCAAATGAATATAATTATTCAGGTCTCCAAAATAAAATTCACTTATTTAATCAATTTAAGCATACAAGTCACTTCACTACATAATTCAAATAACAATAATAAAATAATGTAGAGTATACAATGTATCTCTCAAAAATATGAATCTAAACGTTTTCCCAATGTTACATGACCAGAGCATGACTCAAACCAAAATAAATACAAAAATAGAATTAGCTACTCCATCATCTACTCTCTTGCTATAAGCAAATCTAACCTTTAGTACCTGAGTGATATCGTTATCAAACATCATTCCAACAGAAGAGTGAGAATTCACGTAATTATCGAAATCATATAACAATATATAATACACATCATTCATGTATAAAAGTAACATTCTCACACTTCATATGTCTAAAAACATAACATCACCCAAATATCATACTGTTCACAAGTATTCATTCATCATTCTCAATTTCACAAAATACAAAAATCTCACATAGTTCACATAATTCCATATTGCAAACATACAAACGATATGACTCAATGCAACTCAAATGAAATATACATGCATGTGGTACCAATTACTGTTATTTTTATTCGTTTTTTACTTTAAATCGGATCCGTCGTCTAGACTAATAACACACAAAAGCCTGTTCTCTAAGCTTTCAAACTCCTCTCTAGGTTGGAACAAGTCACTAGCTCCCTTGGAACTAACAAGCATGCATCTTGACAACAAATGATGCATGTGCAATTACAACAACCATGTGCAATTAAGACAATTCTCTAATCTTAACATTCATGCATATCTTCAATAATTCATCACACTTGAATTATCACATATTTGCTCATACATACACATACTCATGAATCATTCACATACAATTCATATTCATAGTATCCCTGCACCAAAACATCATCACCACAAAAAATAGACAATGTACAATCATCATAAAGATTCAACACAACCACAAATACACATGACACCTATAAATCAAGTTTCATGCCATTAACAAATAACCTTAAAAAATCATTCAAACATGCAGTTTAAATTCCAGAAAATTTAGTAGAAATTAGCATAAAATATAAGCACACATAATTCCAAAATAATTTAACAAAATAAACATGTTTCCGCTCCCAGGCAACCACGCTAAGAGAGCTTCTAGGCACTAAGCGCCAAATTCACTGTTGCGACCCGCGCTAAGCGCGATATACGGCGCTAAGCGCCCTCTGCAATTTTGCAGAAAATTTCTATGATGACAACATAGTTCCAATGCGATTTCTTCATCCAAAACATATTTTAACATCCAATTTATTACGATTTAAGTTATTATAACCTATATCTAACATGTACTAATCAATCAAAACATTGAACACAATTAATCATCACATATCAAGGTTTATCATTCAAAACCTACAATTACCAAAACCTAACAATTGATAAATTTGTATTTTAAACATGATTCTATCCATCATATATTATCATATGATCCCGATGATTAAGTAAAAACCCATCCTTACCTTGATTTTCAATAAACTCTTCGAATCTTATCCTCAAGTTTCTCTTCTTTCTCCTATTCCATTTTCTCTAGATTTAGCCTCTTTTCCTCTTTTTCCCTTACTAAATCTATTTTTCTATTTTGGTTAAACCCTTACTAGATACTAACTCTAGTAACCACTAATGGGCTTACTAACACACCTCTACATTACTTTTCCCCTTCTCACTCAATATGCCCAATCACCAATATTCTATCATTTCCATATAATTATCACTAATAAAATAATTATTTACTAACCGACACCAAAGCTAACTATAATTCTACGGTTCGACGATCTCAACCCGACTAACCCGTCACATAGCACATATATCAATTAATGAAATAAATCAATTATCCACAAAAATCAAACTAATAATTAATATATATATATATATATATATATATATATATATATATATATATATATATATATATATATATATATATATATATATATATATATATATATATATATATATATATATATATATATATATATATATATATATAATTACTAAAAATTGGGGTGTTACACTTGGTCATGGTAGTTGTCACAAGAAGTGTGAACCAAGTAAAATATGTTTAAAAACAACCCAAGAAAAGGCTTTCAAGACTTATGCTAGACACACCAGTGAAATTCCCTCATGTAAGTCCAAGACCTCGAATGAAGCTATGAGAGAGCAACCTTTAAATACTTCAGGATTGATACTTTGAAATCTAAGAAAGGAATTTGTAATCATATCCTTGTTAATAGACAATCATAAAAGTTGGAGTTAAAAAAGGTACCTGGTGAATACGAGGTGGAAGGAGCGTAGTAATAGAGAAATGCAAAGATTTTGATCAAATGTTCTCAGTGACGAAAAGATATGGGCATTTAATAATAAAATGACTATGAAGAAACTTGAATACCAGAGGATGGAAAAGTTTCCTGGATGACCAAGTGCACTCGGGTGAGTTACGAGATCAACGACTGGATTTCCCCTTGGGATCACACGTAAACTCAAGTGCACTTTAAGTTGCACCATGCTCTAACTTATCGCGTCAGCACATATGTTAGAAGAATGCGATGAAACATTTTGATGATGGAAATGTATTTACTGTGCTTGTTCCCCACTACTTTTCCAACAGATTCAAAGCGTTTCGGTTTTAGTTCCCATCAGACCGTATTCTAGAAGCTGGCCAAAATCACTTAAGGCTTCCCTGGATCCCTCATTGCCCAATAAATCCTTGGGGGGAAATGTTTTGGTCTGGCCAAGAGCCTAAATACCTGAGGCCAAATTCATCTCAAATCCAATCCATCTAACCCGAGGTATAAAGGTCAGTTCACACGAAAAACAAGGTACATTCTAAGATCTCAACTTTTAACTATTCACATCTTGAATCTTGAACTGACTTGCGAGTTAGAGTGCTAACCTTGCACGTCCACTCTGTCACCATATCAGAGATCAAAGCTACCGATTTCAGATCACTAGTTCATCCACTGTATCCAATTCTGGTTCCTAAATAAAACAAATGGTATATTTTTTCGTCACTTGATTATGCACTTTTCAACTACACACTGAACTAGTTCTAAATACTGTGTTTGAAAGTGAAGAAAACACTTTATCAAATGATAGCTTAATACAATACATGCATGTCTATATAGTATGCCAATCAAATCTCATAATCTATATCTACAAGTCCTTTTTCTAACATCAACAATAAATTATTGTATGTTATAGAAATGTTTAACCTATCATTTCTCATTTATGGACCAACATGGTGTTCAATGAACATTAAAAAACCTCCTTATCTAAGTTCTTTCTAGGCATGGACAATACATTATTTTCTCATCGATAAAGCTTAGCAGTAGACGTGGATATCATATTCATTAAGTAGATTGTTATCCTCTAACACATAGTTAATATTGACATGTCCCTTACAACTAGTATTGTGGTATTTAATGACTCAAATATGTTATTCATTAATACATAACATTTGGGGGTAGATATTAAAAGTATACTTTTACCATATTTTTGTAGAAACACCCATCAACAACTCTCATGCCTTTTGATTAACTTTCTTTGATAGTATGCTGCCTTGCCAACTGTCATCAGCAAATCTCTAATGAATGTATCTCCTCTAAATTTCTTCTTGAAATGGACATATAAGTATTTAAGAATAATCTACGTTCAATTCTATCAATTATATTTTCGAACACACATATTTTAATGAAATAATATTAAACTCTTAAGACATTTCCATTTTAATGAAATAATAAATGTTAGGGAAACAATAAATTCAAGTGGTGTGACAAAAAAATAAAAAGCAAAAAAAAAAAAACTTTTCAGCGCACCACTTAGGCAAAATGAGATAGTCAGAAGATTTAATAGTCTAAAACAACAAAATCGTTATTTTCAAGATTCAAATGTCAATATTTTTACATGGGTAAATAAGAATTCACCCAAATAATAGGGGAAAACACTACTAACCCTAAAAATAAAAATTGAAAAGTAAATAAGACTTAAAATTATTTAGTAAACACAAAGTAATATACATCAAAATAGTCAAAATATTATCTATAAAATATATTACAATATCACATCCTTTATTTGTATCTAGATTCAATACATAATTGCATGTTGATTATTATTACTAAAGGAAATAACATAAACCACACAAATTTTAAGACACTCATTATAAAAATATTCTTCTTTATTTTACATCGTAAACTCAACAATATAAGTTATATTATAGTCTTGTTCCATATCACATCTTAGTTTGCTTGTTTAATTTTGTTTCACTTGACTACTTGCAAGGTTCACAGCAACAATGATAAATCCTTTGTCACAACCAAAAGCAATCCTGCAAAATATAACAATGTATGTTCCATCATTGAAGTAAAAAATATAATTCATTGTTAGTTGTCAAAAGAATATTTAGCTTAGAAAATTACTTAGATGATCCTTTTTTATATCCAATACTCCATACTCTCTCAAGACCAAACTCCAATGAGGTTTCAAGCCTACAAGTTATTATGAACAACTTGTTAAAATGTGAATCAACATAAGATTATTATTCAACTCACCAATTTATTTTTGAACAAATTCAACACACTAATTAAATTTAAAAATATAACAAGTTCAATAACTAATTGTGTACCTATATGAGACTACATCCCATATTTTAACAGTAGAATCTTCTGAAGCTGTAAATATTATAGGAATTTCAGGGTGAGCACATATTGTTGCAACATTATTCTTGTGCCCTTCAAGTGTTTTTATGCATGCTTTAGAATCATAATCCCATATCTGTTGAAATATAAGTTTAGTATAAGATAAAATTAAATATCTCAAAAGTTGAATGGACTAAAAAAAGAGTAATTAATATGTAAACCTTGGCAGTGTAATCATCAGAACCACTTAAAAGATATTGTTTTTCATTACTCTTAAAATAATCAACACAATTTACTCCTTTCGAATGTCCTTCAAAAGTGAAATTTGGAGTTGAAGAATTAATGGTCCATATCTAAAAAGAGAGACAAATGGTACAAAAATTTTGTTAATGAATTTTAAGTAAAGCAAAGTTAAAAAAACGTCAATGACCACAATCTAGACAACAATTTTATTGCAATTCTCTTAATATCAAATATCATCACCTAAGTGCAATTTAGATACCTTTAGGGTGCCATCGAGGGATGCACTAGCAAATGTAGATGGATCCTTAGGGTTAAACGCCACTTGCATCACATAATGCGAGTGTCCTTCAAAAGTCTCATCACATGACCAACCTTTTTTCCAATTCCACAATTTCAAAACTTGATCATCAGAAGCAGACACCACATATGGCAGAAAAGGATGAACATCCAAACTCCTAATATAATCTTTATGTCCTTCAAATTCAATTATCTTTTCCATTTTTTCATAATTATAGACACGAATATATTTGTCGTCGGTCGCTGCGATAACCCAATTTTCCCGAACAATAAACTTTGCAGATCTCACTATAGATCAAACAAAAATAAATAAGAAACACAACAAACATAACTTGAATTAAAAATCACTATTATTAAATTATGATATTTACCTGGTAATTCACTAATTTTGAGTGACTTCTCTTCAACCTGTCGCATTAACAAAATTAATGTCAAATATAAGCTACGAAATTCTTTAAATAAATAAATTCTTCAACAATTTCTATACTCAAAGCTCAAATTTAATGTTTTACCTTTGTTTGGTAGTTCCATATAGAAATGGTTCCTGAATATAAACCCACTAGAACCCTGCATAAAAAAAAGTAATGTATGTAAGTGTTTGGAATAATAACAACTAAATGTCACTTAGAATTTTCAAAAGAAAACTTGACAATATGAATATGTTTTTTCTCATCTCATATAAAAGAGTATATGTTAAAAAAATAAATTACCATGGCTCAGTTGGATGCATATCAACAGATTTCACTCTTTCACTATTTTGAACAAAGTCATGCTGCCCAATACATAATTAGCAACAAAATGTCAAGAACAAAATTTAAATAATAATAATAATAATAATAATAATAATAATAATAATAATAATAATAATAATAATAATAATAATAATAATAATAATAAAAGTTTGAATATAAAATAGATAATACAAAAAAAGAGTAATACCTCAATTTCAAGGGAGAGAGTTTGTTCCTACAAAATCAACAACATAAGAAGCACTTATATTAATTATGTCATAAAAAAAATTACTTGAACATGCATCATAAACTTTTATAAATAAAAAATAAGGATTAAAATTTGATTTTTGTTTTGTTTGAAAAAGACTAAAATTGATAAAGTTCCATAAAATAATATAAAATCAAAGAGGGAGGAGTGAATTATGACTAACCATATTAGAAATTTGGTGCTCTCAAATTCAATTGTTGATCTAAAAGATTGCTAAAGATGTGTGTTTTGTATCAAGTGTTAGAAGATTTGGTTGGAGTATTTTTGTGTTTATATAGTTAAGGATGCTTTGTAGTTAAGAGATGGAGAGAGAATTTTGTTATGAGCTTCAAAGTTGATGTATTGTTAAACTTGACTAATTCTAGGAACAACAATTTAGTCACTATCATATTCTTATTATTATTACTTATGAATTAAGATATCATGTGAAGGGAGGCAAATGAGCTTATTCAAATTTGTATGGCTATGCATGCACTTATTTTTAACTTCTAACAAGATTCGTCCCTCTATAGATATTAGTCAATATCTTAGTCCTCTTGATTCAACATTTTGTGCGCAGGAAATAGACCTACAATGCTTCTTAATAGGGCTTTGGACATGTTGAATTTTCAAAAGTATATTACGAAACTCATCAAACAAAATCTTATTTGATGTTTGAAAGAAAAACTAATAACACCCCTACACCTAGTTTTGTACCCCCAAACAAACCATGTGAAATTATAAATAAATCATTCAAATATTCACGACTAAAATTTTATCCAATATCCCTGCACTTGTTCTCAAACCCCTTACATTTTATGAAAAATATCAACTTTTCTTTTGGATGCTTATAAACTGATTTACACTTTTATTTTTTTACTCTTTATTTAAAATTTTTGAAAAATTACACCCAATGTATGTCTATTGACGGAACATTTAGTAAAAAAGTTTCAATAAATAATTTTTATTTTATATTTTAATGTATCGAAATACTTGACAAAAAATAGAATAGAAAGATTTTGGTTGGAAAAATTTTGAAGTGTTTATTTTTCTTTAGAACACTTTTAGGGAATTCAAAATTTATATTGAAAAAAGATTTTGAAATACATAAATTTTTCAAAATAAATTTATATTGTCATAGTATTGTGAAAAATAAAAATACTATTGTAAAAAATAAAAATACAATAATAATAAATACTGCTTTATATTTCTATACAAACTAATTTTTTCAAAAAATATTAAATATTTTTTTATACTTTTAAAAAAATTAACTTTCGAAAGCTTTCTCTTCTTCTCTTTCTCTGAAATTGCATACATAGTCTAAATATCAATGTTTTAAAATCCAAATCAAATTGTCCAGTTTAACCGGTTAGACCGGGAATCAGAGGCGACTCCGGTCTGCTCAGTCTTATAAAATTGCAGGTTGGTCAAAACTAGAGTTAAATCGAAAAAGTCTGATTGAACCGCTCGAAACTATTCGAACTAAAGAATCGGAGTCGGTTTTGTAAAACCATCCGATTCAAAAAAATATTTGTCATTGACCAATTTTAATAATTTTTTATATAAAAGAATTAAAAATTATTATTATATTAGCATCAATAAGTAAAATATTTTCCTTTCACAAGAAAACAACATAAATTTCTAACTTACACTATGTTATAGTTTTGTTTTTTTAACGTACCATTATATTGTGTAATTATGTTTATCATTAGTCTCGTAATATTAAATTTGTAATAAATTTTTAAAATACTTATTTTAAAAATTTCTGAACATATAATTATGTAATTTAGCTTTATATTATTAACTTATTTTATTTAATAAAATGGCTTGACTATAAGTTTAATCAGTTGAATCAAATGAATTTTGAATCAAAAGACTTTTCAATTTGACATTTAATCTAATTTTTAAAATATTATTAAATACGAATTCTTATTATCCATAAAAAATATTCTATATCAATAATAGAAATTAAACTCACATTTTCAAAGATAATGGGTCAACTTTGTACTAACTAAAGTAATCTTCACAAACTCGTAAAACCATTTAATTGGATATAACTAATTTGATCAAAACCATTTAATTGGATAAGATACGTACAATTTTCAATTTCAAAAACTGTAAATATATATTTTAGGGTGAGGAGATGATAACAAAATATATTTTAACATCCTTAAAGATATTATTTGTTTACATCCATTTGAGTTTTATTCCTTTACTTTTGTGTTATTATAATTCTATTTAAAAAAAAATCATCATGTAACTTGTTTGTATGAGTCTCATGTTACTCCAAAATTATGTCTTCCTTCAATTTTGTTGAGGAATTAATTTGTTATATCTTGATTTATATTTCACACTCTTCTTTTAATATGTTTTTACGATTATACAATTATTTAAAGTTATCAAATTTTAAAACATATAAGTTTTTATCGAATTTTTTACAAAAATATCAAAAAAATTTAAATTTCCATAAATTTTTATCGAAAATTTCTAAACTATATCAAATTTTTTTTGAAAAAATACGATAAATTTTTAAATTTTCATGAGTTTTATATGAAATTTTAAAACTACACCAAAAATAATAAAAAAATCAAATATTTCAAAAATTTTAGTAAAAATTCATGAAAATTTTATCAATAATTTTGAAATGTGTGTTTTTATCTGAAATTTCAAATTTTCAGGTAAAAACTCGTATTTTTTTATCAAAATTTTCAAAATACATATTTCTGAAAATTTTGAATGAACTATAAAAAATTTCGCTTAATCATTTTTTTTTATCAGAGACATTTTTGCTATTATGAAAATATTAAAGAATATTGGATTTAAAATTTAAGGTGACAAATAAATTTTCGAGTAAGAATATTTTTCGTTCGATCCTCTTTTGATTGTTATGCTAAAAAATGATATCAAGACTTTTAGTTTCGAAAAAAGAATCGATTTAAAAATATTTCATTAAAAAAATTTGTCTCTCATGAATGTTAGAATTAATTTAGATTTAATTAGATATTAATTTATATTTAGGAATATCTTTTAGATTGTTTATATCTTTGTTAGAAGATATAAATCTTAGATCTTCTTATATTTTTGTAGAAGATATATTTTAGATTTAATTTGTGTGTATAAATAGCCTAGTGGAGTAGGTTATTGTAATTCATTGTAAATTCTTATTTTTAAAGCTATCAGTAAATATTCCTTTTGCCTTTTATCTTCCTTGTGTTTCAACAATTGGTATCAGAGATCCTGGTTAGAAACTCTGGAATTTGGGAAACATTGATTTTTCATTGAGTTTCTATGTAAATTGCACAAGGTAGAAGATGAACGGAAACGACGATATTCATTCCAAGCTTCCAGTATTTGATGGCAAAAACTGGAATCATTGGAAGATCCAGATGCGCGTGTTATTCGGCTCTCAAGATGTGTTAGAACTTGTTACTGATGGCTATAATCTGTTAGAAGTAGATGCAATAGAGGACCAGAAGATAGCACAGAAGGTGCCAAGGAAGAAAGATCAGAAAACGTTGTTCTACATCCATCAATATGTGGATGTGAATGTGTTTGAGAAGATTACTGATTCTGAAACAGCAAAGGCTGCGTGGGACACACTGATCAGATGTTACGGTGGTGACGCATCAGTGAAGAAGGTGAAGCTTCAGTCTCTCAGAAAGCAATGTGAGAATCTCAACATGAAGGACAACAAGAAGGTTTCTGAATACATCTCTAGAGTGATTCTGATCACTAATGAGATGGAAGCTTGTGGAGAAACTCTGTCTGAACAAGTAATTATCGAGAAGATCTTGAGATCTTTAACTTCTCAGTTTGATTAGATTGTTGTAGCAATTGAACATTCCAAATATCTGAGCACCATGAGAGTTGAAGAGCTGCAAAGTAGTCTAGAGGCACATGAGTTGTGTATGACTGCAAGAACTTCTGAGAGGGAAGTAGAGCAGCAGACTCTGAAAGTAACTTTTGGTAAGAAGCATCAGAAGCGGACTTGGTCAGAAGCCAGGAAGAAAACTAATGGTGGTCAAAAACCAGAAGCTTCAACCTCTGATAGGCAGAAGAATATCCAGAAGGGAAAGGAGAAGTGTGACAAGAAGAATGTTCAGTGTTATTGTTGTAAGAACTTTGGTCACTATGCCAGAGATTGCTGGTCTAACAAAGAAAGAAAGTCAGAAGAAGAAAATATAGCAAGAGGAGACTCTGATGATGAACCTGTGCTATTGTTGGCTTCTGAACCTGATGATATGAATTCATCATAATGGTGGTATATGGACACAGGATGTTCAAACCATCTTACTGGAAATAAGAAGTGGTTGGTTGACTTTGACTCTGGGAAGAGTACAAAGATCAAATGTGCTGATGATAAATACCTCAATGCATAAGGTATGGGAAATGTCAGAATCATTCTAAACAATGGGAAAGCAGCTGTGATCCAGAATGTTTGGTATGTACCTGGCATGAAAAGCAATCTGATGAGTGTGGGACAACTGGTTGAGAAAGGTTTTTCAGTTACCATGAAGAACAATCTTCTGAAGCTGTATGACTGTAATCAGAAGTTGATTATGGAGTCAGAATAGATAAGGAACAGAACATTCAAGGTGAATGTTAGAACTGCAGACTCTGAATGTCTTAGTGCAACAAGTGTTGTCAAGGAGAGTGAGATGTGGCACAGAAGATTGGGTCATCTGAATTTCAGAAGTTTAGGACATCTGAAATCAAAGAATCTGGTACATGGAATTCCTACAATCAAGAATCCTGAAAAGTCATGCAAGGTGTGCATGGAAGGGAAGCAACCAACATTACCCTTTGCATCAGAAGTAGCTCCAAGAGCAAAACATGCCTTGGGAGTAGTACATTCTGATGTGTGCGGTCCGTTTCCAGTAGCATCGACTGGAGGGAATAAATATTTTGTGTCATTTGTTGATGAGTTCACCAGAATGACATGGTTTTCTCTCATAAAGTTCAAACACGAGGTGTTTTCTGAATTCAAAAAGTTCAGACTGAAGGCTGAGAATCAGAGTGGTCAGACTCTGAAAATTCTTGGAACTGATGGTGGTGGTGAGTATAACTCCATAGAATTCAGAAGTTTATGTGAGGAGAATGGAATTGAGCATGAGGTTACTGCTTCATATACTCCTCAACATAATGGTCTTGCTGAAAGAAGAAATAGTACTTTGCTAGATATGGTGA